CCCCAAAACCCCAAAACCCCAAAACCCCATTAGTCCTAATATAGGTTGACATGGCAAAATAAAATGTAGGAATATGGATGTTTTATCTCTCATTCATGGCTACAAATTCTTTGCATTTCTCGACAACATAGAGTTGTCTTGGGCTTCCGATCTTAACTGTGTCCTCACTCATCATTTCTTTCCATTGGCATACCCATCCGATGGTTCTGGCCAGAGCGAAGATGACCGTGAACATGTTGGTAGGAATACTTAACTTTTGGAGAACAATTCCTGAGTAGAAGTCAACATTTGGGTAAAGCTTCCTAGAGATGAAGTAATCGTCCTCTAAAGCGATTCTTTCAAGCTCGAGAGCAATGGAGAGCATCTCCTGGTTCTTTGAGTCCATTGTCTCGACTACCTTTTTGCACATCTTGGCCATGACTGTTGCTCTTGGGTCGAAGTTTTTGTAAACTCTGTGTCCGAATCCCATGATTCTGAAGGGATCATTCTTATCCTTGGCCTTCTCGATGTATTTTGGGATGTTTTCAGCCTCTCCAATTTCTTGAAGCATCTCGATACAGGCCTGATTAGCACCTCCATGGGCAGGTCCTCATAAGGATGCAATTCCGGCTGAAATGCACGCAAATGGATTTGCTTTGGAAGATCCGGCGATCCTGACTGTTGATGTAAGGCGTTCTGCTCATGATCAGCATGGAGAAGGAGAATCTTGTCTAAAGCTTCTGTCATGACTGGTTCGATTACAGCTTCTTGATCCATAGGATCAGAGAACATCATATGCAAAAAGTTATCAGTGTAGGAAAAATCCCTTCTTGGATATACCATTGGGAGTCCCATGGATGTTCTGAAGGAGAAAGCAGCGAGAGTTGGGAACTTAGCAATCATCTGGATTGCTACTCTTTCTTTCTGCTTTGGATCTTCGATATCAAGGTCCTCATGGTAGAATGATGAAAGGGCACCAATGACACTACACATGATAGCCATTGGATGTGCTTTTGGGTTAAAACCTTTGAAGAAATCTTTAAGCTTTTCATGTACAAGCATTTCATCCTTGACTCTTTCCTCAAAGTCTGCAAGATCAGAAGCTGTCGGGAGCTCTCCATAGAGAAGCAGGAAGCATGTTTCAATGAATGTACAATTGGCTGCTAGATCTTCGATCTTGTATCCTCTGTATAGGAGTTGACCTTTTCCTCCATCGATATAAGTAATTGCTGAAACACAACTTCCAGAGGCTGTGTATCCTGGGTCGAATGTAAACATGCCAGTTTTAGCGTACAGATCTCTGATATCTAGCATTTTAGGACCAAGAGTTCCCTCGAGGATACTAAGTTCAACCTCAGTGCCGTCGGGGAGGACTAGTTTGCACTTCTCTTTAGACTCTGGGGCCTTTGGGGCTAACTTTTTGTTTCTCTTCTCCACTACTTCTTTGGAGATGTACATTCCACTCTCACCACTGTTCTTCCTCTTGTTCTTTGGGTTTATGGTGAATCTCTTAATGAAATGGCCGAGAGATTGAGCTTGTGTAGCTTGTATTAGCTTCTCTTGATCTAAGAAGTCAGCACTCATGTCTATATAAAACCATAAGTATGTGTTTAGGGAAGATTTAGAGTACTACAAAGCCCAGATTATGAATCTAGAGCTCTGTTGACATCTTCTGGTAAGTCTTGAAAGAGGGCTACTTACGTCTATCTTTCTTTGTCGATTCTATGTTTGTATTTAATAAGATTATACCTCTTTATAAAGCTAATCCGACCCTCTTGGTAAACTGGGGTTTTGGGGTTTTGGGGTTTTGGGG